ACCGTATCCAGCGTTGGTATTATATCCATGTTTAAAAATGGGGGATGTGTACCAATAGGTAGAAATCATGAGGATTATTAACAGAACGGTGAAGCCGCGTTTTCCGGCACCTCAGGTCCTCTGTGAAAGGCCCGAGAGCTGTCAAGATATTAAAGTAGAAATACAATCAATATCCTCTCAAAGGTAAATGTACTTTATCTGGAGGAAACGGTCGGGTGTCTGGACAACCAGCTGTTCAGATGTTTGTGATGTTCCTTTTAGTGGGCCTTTGGCTGGTGGTCCTCATTAAGGCCATTGCTGTCACTCGGTTCGTTAAGGTTCCTGGATGTTGTCACAACAGACGTTAAGAGTCGTTGGGCTACCTGGATAATTTTGGGATAATTTTACATTGTGGTAACAAAATATATTTTGTAACCATGGGCTTTTATGTAAGAATTACACAACTGCAATGTACCAATACCAAAAACAGCAGCACAGACAAACTTACAGAAATGGTGGGAAACCCACCTCCCTCCCAATCTGACACTAGATAAGTGTTGACTGAGGGACTTTTCAAAGCTATTTGACTGTCAGACAAACAGTTCAGCCAGAGACTAATGGCCCTTTTAGTGGGGCTGCAGTTGTGAACAGTCCATGTAGGCAAGCATTGGTGGTTCAGTGGTAGAATTCTCGCCTGCCACGTGGCGTGGAAGGTCTGGGTTCGATTCCCAGCTAATGCATTGAGTCTCACTTAGTTTACAGGACGATACTACTCATGGGTAAAGCCTACCTTTGCTCTCAAAGCTGTTGGTGTTGTAGGTGTCACATGATGATAGCAGTTGAAGTAGTCTTTGTTGACCCCCCAATGACTTTGTGTGAGAGATAACTTGTCTTTTGTGTCTTTAGCACATTGAGAGATCTTTTCCATTTTACCCACCTAGGTTAAGTATATTGCTGGCCTCGTTGGCGCAGTAGGCAGCGCGTCAGTCTCATAATCTGAAGGTCGTGAGTTCGAGCCTCACACGGGGCATCCTTTTGCTGCACATGGGCTTTTTCTGGACTGGTATGAAGTCATGTACAATGTGCACTGTGTAGATGCAGCAGTTGGAAAGTTTGTTGTGTTCATTCGCACAGTGGTATGTTACAGGTCATGTGCGCATTGGTGGTTCAGTGGTAGAATTCTCGCCTGCCACGTGGGAAGTCTGGGTTCGATTCCCAGCCAATGCATTGAGTCTCACTTAGTTTACAGGACGATACTACTCATGGGTAAAGCCTACCTTTGCTCTCAAAGCTGTTGGTGTTGTAGGTGTCACATGATGATAGCAGTTGAAGTAGTCTTTGTTGACCCCCCAATGACTTTGTATCTGCTTTTCCTTGGATACAGGCACCGTGACTCTTGTGTGAGGGATAACTTGTCTTTTGTGTCTTTATCACATTGAGAGATCTTTTCCATTTTACCCACCTAGGTTAAGCATATTGCTGGCTTCGTTGGCGCAGTAGGCAGCGCGTCAGTCTCATAATCTGAAGGTCGTGAGTTCGAGCCTCACACGGGGCATCATTTTGCTGCACATGGGCTTTTTCTGGACTGGTGTGAAGTCATGTACAATGTGCACTGTGTAGATGCAGCAGTGGGAAAGTTTGTTGTGTTCATTCGCACAGTGGTATGTTAATTGGTCATGTGCGCATTGGTGGTTCAGCGGTAGAATTCTCGCCTGCCACACGGGGGCGGGAGGCCCGGGTTCGATTCCCGGACAATGCAACCCACTTATCATTTTCTCGGGTTTGATACCCCAACAATGCAAAACACTTCTTGGGATAATTGTACAGTGTGGTACCAAAATATGTTTTGTTACAATGAGCTTTTATTGAAATATTGTACAACTGTAATGTACCAATGCCACAAACAGCAACACTGGGCAAAAGAAGAATAAGAAAACACAGTCAAGGTATCCACATTGTCAGAAACAATATTCAGGTGGTCTTCTGCTTTCAGACGTTGATTGACTGGTGTTAAGGGGCCCAAAGAGTGAGTTGTTGGTGAGAGATTCTCAAACATCCAGGTCTTAATTTTCCAAGTGTGGGGTCCTCATTAAGGCCATTGCTGTCACTCGGTTCGTTAAGGTTCCTGGATGTTGTTACGACAGACGTTAAGAGTCGTTGGGCTACCTGGATAATTTTGGGATAATTTTACATTGTGGTAACAAAATATATTTTGTAACCATGGGCTTTTATGTAAGAACTAGAAAATTACACGGAAATTTTGAGTGCCACGGGGGCTATACTGCCGGGATGAGTACATGATTTATTTCCAGTGTTCAAAAGTCACCCTGATCATATTCTGTTTTGAGAAATGTCTTGATATAAAGTACTCTGATATAAAACAATGTTACATCCCTCCATCATGTATTATGTGGGAAATATCTCATATTCTGTGTTGTTTTTATTAATAAAACAAGAGGCAACATGTCTTCAAACTGGCATTTAAAGGGTTAAAATCCTGAAAACTAATAAACATTTGGTAGGTTTGAGCAGAACTGAAGTGGTTTAAGAGATGTATGCAAAAAAAAGCAGAAAAAAATATTGATATATGATGATTTTATAGCATTTTCTTTGTGTGTCCTTTTTTGGACGCGAGGAACCCCAGAGGGTACAAAATGTGTTACCAGTGTATAATAGACCTGTAACAGTAACTGACATTAGATTTTAAAAATATGTCAAAAAAGACACTTTCTTGCAGAAATCCATACCTTCAGCTGTAACACAGCCAAAATGATCAGCAAATCAAAAAAGAAAAGTGAAGAAAATGTCCAAAAAAGGACAGAGGGACCCCTGAGGGTTAATAAATCCCATGAACCGCTATTTAAATTACCACTATTATGTTTTTTTCGGTGCTAAATTTAACATTACTGGGGAGGAGAGCAACGCGACTAGAAGTGACAGCGAGAGAGGGCTAGTAGCTTCTCCTCTCCTCTGTCTCAGCGGAGACCGTCACAACTTCATTCACTCATTTAACAAAACAAAAAGAAAAGCAACAAAGGAAGCAGTAAATGGACTTACATATTTAAGACCTAACTAAATGTAATTTAAGACCTAACATGCGGCTAATGTAAAGCTAGCGGAGCTTGGAGAGTTGGTTATCTGGTTGCTAGGCACGCACACACGCACACAGGTCAGGAGCTGCCGTTGCCATGGCAATGTGAAAATCTGCCCAGAATTTGGCTTCTACATGGCTTCAAACAACTGCAAATTATGAGAAAACCGTTACTTCTTTTCAAAAACCGAAAACACCGTGACAGACACTGAAGCCAGAAGTTTCTTACAGTCTCTATTTTATTCAGATATTCCTTAAAATGAGTGAGTAAGCTCAGTGCGAAGACAGAGTGAGATTCTTTTGAAAAAAAAAGACGATTACATTAGGTGTCAATGAGAGTGAGACAGGTATTGCTGCCGGACTCGGCACCCCCGTTTAAATTTTGTGCAGACCCTGCCTGTCAAAGTTACATTTTATGAATCCCAACAACTATGTCTACATTTTGAGAAAGAATTATTTGTCTCCTTTTTACGGTTTGGCTGTGAGCTCGAGTTAAAAATAAAAATAAAGGTTATTTTTTTACTGCTTCACGCACTCTAGCCAACTGACGCTGTCACTCTAACTTTGAAGAAAAAGTGATTTGCACTCCTCCTTTGAGTGCTCATAGTTTGAAAAGTTTACATGTTATGTAAAAACAGTTGCTGTGTTTTGGAGAGAGCAGAAGTTTTCCTCCGTTTTATAGTTTGAATCACATTTCTACGTGCAGGTATGAGAGAGCTGGGTGACTCAGAAAAAAGGTGAAATTTTGTAGAAAAAAGGTGAAATTTTGTGGGTTTCTAAAGAAAATTCCAATGCATTCCTAATGCATTATTTTATATATATATATATATATATTACAGTATTTTGGGAATAACTTTGGGAAAAATTGGAATTTTAACACCAAAAGTCATAGCACCTCTTTCGGGAGACGCACGTTTTGATGTATATATTACCAGGGTTTTCTCAAAGCTCCGGGACGAGTTACACGCCAAAATTTGGCGGAAGAATAAAAATAAGCCCGAAGAAATATTAATAGATGCCTCGGAGCTGAGCACCCGTGGCATTAATGAGACTTGATTAAATATAGATTCAATTTAATAAAAACAACTTGACAAAGCTAAATGACCTAAATCAGAATGGTAAAGCTTCAAATAAACATGGAGCCTTTGACTTTGTCTGTTTTAGATCACAGCTTTAATAAAGACTGTAAGACGCTGATACAGAAAAACACTATTTTTGAGTCTTGTGCATAATTGTGATTCACTGCACTGTTTTCAGGAAGTTTGTTGTGTAGCAGGGCTGCTGTGTAGCTAGTACAGATGTCAACATACCAGAAATGTAGTAGTCGTTACCAATACCAATGAAATTCTGCAGTTCTCAATACAAAATTTAATATTACAGCAAAAAGCAGAGAACAACAGAGGCTGCTGCACACAGTGTTATAACACATACGCACATGTGCTTGTGCATGCACACACACATATGCACACACCTCCATATAGTCAGTGTGCAAACAGTAGTTTAAAGTTATAACTGTAACATGTAACTTGTATAACTCTGTATTTATTTATGTGTATGTGTTTTTTAACCTACAGTGGCCCCTGCAGTAAGAAGGCAGTAATTTCTTTATTTAAGACTGTACTCTCTTTTCCTATTACCATAAATCTTTAGAGATAAAACAAAAATGCAGTAACATTTCAACCAAAAACAAATTTAGTCGCAACACAATTACACCACCCTGATCTAATACTGATCTCATTGTATTTCATTACATGGATTAAAATACTGCAATCCTTAGTAATATATATACCTTAGTAATAACCGATGGAATTGTATCAAAAGATTATAAAATGATATCATCTTGAGGACAAATGATCCCGTTTTTTTGACTTTCACTTCAACCTTCTCCACAGTCAGCCTAGTCTGATAAACATAAGTAGCAAAATGTTGTTGCTCCATCAACAGGGCCAATCCCCTTCCTCTTACCAATATCATTGTGATGCTGAGGGCATTACCCTTTAATGTCTGAAAAAAAAGTAAAATAAAATAAAGGTGCTGCTTAATCAAAATAAAACAAACATCCAAAAAAGGGAAGGAAAAATCTTTTCTGAGAAAATGTGTCACGTGTTTAAAGGGTCACAAGAACAGAAAAGAAACACAGTCATCAGTCTGCTCAGAATGTTACTGCTGTGTGGTCTGAAAAAAATTGTGTAAACTTCACTCAAGTCACGTATCTGATAAAAGTGAAACTAAACACTGGAGTGGGAAGAGGATTTCATGCTGTATGTAGATTCCACTTTTTACTGGTGGCTGTTAGGATCAGTCATACACCTCAGACTCTTTGTGCCAGCACACTAAAGGTAGGACGGTTCTTCAGCTGATTATCAATGTAAAATTGACAGTCAACATACAAGATCAATGGGTTTCATTATAAACAGCTCAGGGCAAATGTTTTATTCTCCAGCAATGGGAATAAAAAAGTCTAAACCTGCTGCTGAACCTCCTTCATATCTCCACCCAATCACAACCTTACACGGTGGCCTTCAGCCAATCACCTGTAAGCTGTCAAAAAATGGTCTCTCTCTCTGCTGTCAATCAGCTGCCATTTCAGCACTGTGAAGAACCTTTTGTATGGCGTATGCTTATCTGCTACTATTCAGCTGCATCCTCACTTGCCAAAGCATGTCGGGTTTCGAATCAGATAACCTGGAGGATTTCAACCCCAGTGACGACCTCCTGCTAGAAGCAGTGCAGTCTCAGCGGAAAAGCGCCAGCATTGCATCCACCAAATCGGCTCTAGCATTAAGAGAAGCCGAGCTACTTGAGTCCAAGCTACAGGCCCAAGGCATTTCTCCTGTCCCAGGGCTTGAGCTAGCTCAACTGCACGAGTTGGCAAGCCTAATCGCTGGCAGCGATTCAGCCGATGACTCACCACCTCCTGCAGAGAGCCGCCATTTCCTGCCGAAATCCAGCGCAGCCATAGGCGTACCAGGAAGCCACCTACTTCCCAACAAAAAAGAAGGCCGCCAAGTTCAGCTCCTTCCTTTAACCTTGGCGTTGTCACAGTTCCAGCCACGCCCATCTCATCAGCCAGCTCAGCTCACCTGTGTGCCACTCATCAAGCCACTATATAAGCCCCTCCAGTTCACTCACTCTTCACCAGATTGTTCTTCGCCTTCTCTGCAAGACTTTCCAGCCTTCTAACAGCATTGCCTTGCCTTGTCTCTGCCTTGTTGTATGTATTCTTTACCTCCATGCGCGTGATTTTTTGTTTGTATTTTCATAGTTTAGAGTCATCTGTTTTGTCAAGTTTATAGCAGTTTTTGTCCCTCCATGTGGAGTGAATTTTTGTTCTAGTTGTTGATGCTTAAGTGTAATTGTAGAGCCACTGTTTTTTGAGAGCATTTTTAGTTGGTCTTTATAGTGTAGTGTTTTGGTTTTCCTCCTCAGAGAGAGATTCAGTGTTCATAGTGTTTAGCTTTTGTCTTCCTCCTAGTGGAGTGATTTTCTGTTGGTTTATTCCTTTTTGTTTCTGCAGTTTTGTCCCTCCATTTGGAGTGGTTTTTGTTTTATTAGATTTTTTCCCTGAATAGTTTAGTCTTGACTTTTTAGTATAAATTCCATAGCTGGTTTATTTTTGTCACTCACAGCCGATGTTGGAATATTAATAAAGTCTGCCTTATTGGATA